AAAGTTATCAGCATATCACATCTAGGTATTATATATAAAGATATCAGCACAGCACATCCAGGTATTACATAAAGTTATCAGCATATCACATCTAGGTATTATATATAAAGATATCAGCACAGCACATCCAGGTATTACATAAAGTTATCAGCACAGCACATCCAGTTATTACATAAAGTTATCAGCACATCACATCCAGATATTGCCTAAAGTTATCAGCACATCACATCCAGGTATTATATAAAGATATCAGCACATCACATCCAGGTATTACATAAAGATATCAGCACATCACATCCAGGTATTACATATATATTAGCACATCATATCCAGGTATTGCATAAGGATATCAGTACATCACATCCAGGTATTACATAAAGATGTCAGCACATCACATCCAGGTATTACATAAAGATGTCAGCACTTCACATCCAGGTATTACATAGTTATCAACACGTCACAAAGAAAAAAATTACTAATTCTTGGTTGAAATGTTTTGACTTGTATTCTTACGGTGTTAATTTTTATTATAAATTCATCTTTGTGCTTGCAACTCATTTTTTAACTACATGTTCTTTGTGTTACTAACGATGCTTTACTAAACATGTGTATACAATACGTCTATCAGTTCTATCCCACCACAAGAAACAATTAGGTCCGATGCTTATTACGCATCTTAAAAACATGATGCAAGTCATTACATCCAAATGTGATGTACCGAAAGGTTTACTTAAAATATATAATGAAAAAAAAACATATGAACATACCATAATAATGTTTAGTCTACAGTCGAGAAAAAAATAGTGATATTATTTTGATCAATACCATGCATTAGAAAGACATAAACTACTGTCAAGTTTTACAAGAAGAAATATATACATCATATTGCTTATTATTATATTTTTCAAAATTTTCTTTCATAGTTCTACATACATCTCTATTTTTGCTTTTATTGGAGCTGTTACTGCCAGTTCCACTCTGTCGTCTCGGGTTTTGTGTCTCAGTAGCAGCAGCAGCAGCATACCTGTTCTCTTCTTCCTGCAATCGTCGAGCAAGCTCCTCACTGCAACAGGAGCAGAAGAGTTATACTCATGTCATCTGTATGTTGATTAGAGATTTTGGTCCTGTTAGTTTAAAAAACCTCGCAGAACTACCGTACTACATTAATAACAGCACAGTTCATATGATCCATTTATAAGTAAATAATTTTGTTTTACAATTAGATCTAAGTCTCGGTAAAATATTCCTCACTGAATAAAGGCAGAAAAACAGGTTCATGAGCATACAGAATATATACATACAACAAAACATCATTTATGATATAGAACTATTCTTCACTAACAAGGCTTAACGGAAACATTCAAATGATACATGGTTATTAAATATTCATTAACAAGGCTTAATGGAAACATTCAAATGATACATGGTTATTAAATATTCACTAATAAGGCTTGATGGAAACATTCAAATGATACATGGTTATTAAATATTCACTAACAAGGCTTAATAGAAACATTCAAATGATACATGGTTATTAAATATTCACTAACATGCAAATGATACATGGTTATTAAATATTCACTAACAAGGCTTAATGGAAACATTCAAATGATACATGGTTATTAGGTATTCACTAACAAGGCTTAATGGAAACATTCAAATGATACATGGTTATTAAATATTCACTAACAAGGTTTAATGGAAACATTCAAATGATACATGGTTATTAAATATTCACTAACAAGGCATAATGGAAACATTCAAATGATACATGGTTATTAAATATT